TAATACCTTCTAAAGCATTACATTACATACTAAGAGATGAACTGCATCTATCGTAGCATCTTTCTCTGGTCTGCTGTGTGCCCAAGCACCACCAGCCCGTCTCCCATGTTCCGTCTGTGACTGTCATCTCCATAGCTACCACCTGTTGGCTGCAGGTGGTGGCCACACCCGCTGCCACACCTGTCCCTCAAACACCCACAGCATTTGGCCTCCCACTGACAGCACCTTTCTAATGAGTACATCCACACAAAAAAAATCATTGTTCACAAGGTCTCCACTCATCTCTGTTGACTGAAATATGTCCACACAAGAATTAAACTTAATCTGTACAAAGCTTCCCCCATTCTCCCTCGCGCGCGCACACGTCTGCACCCATTACGCACTCTTAACAGCCAATAGCAACAGAAGCTACGTGTGTGTGTGTGTGTGTGTGTGTGTGTGTAATTACCTAAGTGTAGTTACAGGATGAGAGCTACGCTCGTGGTGTCCCGTCTTCCCAGCACTCTTTGTCATATAATGCTTTGAAACTACTGACGGTCTTGGCCTCCACCACCTTCTCACCTAACTTGTTCCAACCGTCTACCACTCTGTTTGCGAAAGTGAATTTTCTTATATTTCTTCGGCATCTGTGTTTAGCTAGTGTATATCTATGACCTCTTGTTCTTAAAGTTCCAGGTCTCAGGAAATCTTCCCTATCGATTTTATCAATTCCTGTTACTGTTTTGTATGTAGTGATCATATCACCTCTTTTTCTTCTGTCTTCCAGTTTTGGCATATTTAATGCCTCTAACTTCTCCTCGTAGCTCTAGCCCTTCAGTTCTGGGAGCCACATAGTAGCATGTCTTTGCACCTTTTCCAGTTTGTTGATGTGGTTCTCAAGATATGGGCACCACACAACCGCTGCATATTCTAGCTTTGGCCTAGCAAAAGTGAACAATTTCTTTAGTATATCGCCATCCATGTATTTAAAAGCAATTCTGAAGTTAGAAAATGTGGCATAGGCTCCTAGCACAATATTCTTTATGTGGTCCTCATGTGATAGTTTTCTATCTAGAACCACCCCTAGATCTCTTTCTTTATCAGAATTCTTTAAAGATTTCTCACATAATATATAGGTTGTGTGGGGTCTATGTTCTCCTATTCCACATTCCATAACATGGCATTTATTAACATTAAATTCCATTTGCCAAGTGGTGCTCCATATACTTATTTTGTCCAGGTCATCTTGAAGGGCATGACAATCATCTAAGTTTCTTATCCTTCCTATTATCTTAGCATCATCAGCAAACATGTTCATATAATTCTGTATACCAACTGGTAGATCATTTATGTAGACAATAAACATCACTGGTGCAAGAACTGAACCCTGTGGTACTCCACTTGTGACATTTCTCCAGTCCGATACATTGCCTCTGATCACTGCCCTCATTTTTCTATCAGTCAGAAAATTTTTCATCCATGTTAGAAGCTTACCTGTCACCCCTCCAATATTTTCCAGTTTCCAGAACAACCACTTATGTGGAACTCTGTCGAAAGCCTTTTTTAGGTCCAGATAGATGCAGTCAACCCAACCATCTCTTTCCTGTAATATCTCTGTTGCTCGATCATAGAAACTGAGTAAATTCGATACACAGGATCTTCCAGATCTAAAACCATACTGTCTGTCTGATATTATATCATTTCTCTCCAGGTGTTCTACCCATTTAGTTTTAATTATTTTTCCAATATTTTGACTATTACCCCTGTCACTGATACCGGTCTATAATTAAGGGGGTCTTCCCTGCTTCTACTTTTGTAGATTGGAACTATGTTAGCCTTTTTCCACACATCAGCTACAACTCCTGTAAACAGGGATGTGTGTGTGTGTGTGTGTGTGTGTGTGTGTGTAGAAGAGAGCATTTATCTGCATATTCTCCAGTAACAGGCAGGACTGAGCCACAAGTGTAATCCTCCGATTACACTTGTGGCTCCCAACCTTCCCATCCCAACCCAACTGATCATCCCAACCTTCCTATCCTGGGCATGTGGACCCAAGAACATTGTTATCTATGATATAACATTGTTATCGTAACATGTTATATCATGTTATGAGATGATTTTGGGGCTTAGTATCCCCACGGCCCGGTCCTCGACCAGGCCTCCACCCCCAGAAAGCAGCCCGTAGTAGCTGTCTAACTCCCAGGTACTTATGCAGGCGATGAGTTACAATAACGTGGCTAAAGTATGTTGACTAGACCACACACTAGAAGGTGAAGGGACGACGACGTTTCGGTCCGTCGTGGACCATTCTCTAGTCGATTGTGACTTGAGAATGGTCCAGGACGGACCGAAACGTCGTCGTCTCTTCACCTTCAGTGTGTGTTCTGGTTCCCATGTACCTATTTACTGCTTGGTAATAGGGGTATCAGGGGGGAACGAAACATTTTGCCCATTTGTCTCCCCCCCTCCACTGGGGATCCAACCCGGAACCTCAGGACTACGAATCCGAAGCGCTGTCTACCCAGCTGACAGGCGCCTTACTGCGTCTTCATGCCCCAACAGTGTTGCCTTTTGACCACCTAGTCGGGGTCAAGCTATGGCAAGCTTCCTCGCCTTAAATTGTTCCTTTCTAAAGCTGCTTCTATACACACTTTACCCCTCGCCCACTGCCAAAGCTTAGGTAGCCTATATATGAATCAGTTAATCTTACGAACTACTCATGCCTGTGCCACCTCTTGTGTGGCTTAATCTTCATCAACCAACCTACTCGTCAATCAGCCCCGAGCCAGCATCATTAGAACATCCCTCACCACACATTCTCCATCATCACACTGTCTCTATTCCTGGGAGGTCTGTTTCACAAGGAGCCGTCCTCCACCAACACCACGGCTCTGCCAGCACTACAACTCGGCCAACATCAACAGATTGTTATATACCGCGCGCCTTTACCTTCTGTCTGGCTGCCAACACACTGACAACACACTTTTAAGACAAGGCGATGGACGAGGACCGCATGCTCAGCATGTCACAGAGGCATGTGAAGGGAGGCTGAGATCAGCCCCAGCAAGGGGTAGAGAGAGAGAGATTCCTGGGGGGGGGGGGAAAGGAGGGGGGGTCTTTTGATGGCGAAAATCGAAGTGGGGGAAGCACTACTAATCGCTTCTGGTGGACGAGGCGGACGCTTGACTGGAACCTCCATCCTCCTCTCAATTTTCCTGGAGAATTATGCTTTCTCTTTCATGTCTGCGCGAGTGGTTGGCTTGTCAGGTTGGAGGCTGGGGTAGTGTGGTTGTCATGCTGGGGAGGTGTGGTTGCATTCTGGTGGCTGGGGTCGTGTGGTTGCAGTCATGTTGGCTGCTGTAGTGTGGTTGGATTTTCAGTATAGTTACGGCAGTAGTGGTGTGGTTGTCATCTGGGTGGTTACTGCAGTGTGGTGTGGTTGATTATACAAACTGGATTACTAGTGTAGGAGGACTTGTGGTTTTGTGATGCACTGTTTATGTCGACCAACTGCGCGAAAGCCCAGTTGACACCAAGTTGTGGCAGAGACCCACTGTTTACATAGACCATCAACTTGGGGACGAGGCTGGCTTGCCACTCACGGACAAGGAAGGCCCTCTTGAGTTTCTCTCTCCCAACCGCTCTGGTGTAATTTCCCGGTCACTCGTTGGTTTATGCCAAACTGCTTTCCATACCCGGGTCCCTTTGTCCCGTGTTGACGGGGTGTCATCAGGGCCGTTGCTTTGTGTTGATTTTCACTCGATAGCTCAGTAGGAACCGTGTGTGTGTGACGGAGCAGCTCCGTCCTCACACTTGATGTATTCCTCGCCCCACTCCGTCTCCCCACTCCGTCTTCCCACTCCGTCTTCCCTCTCCCCCTCTCCCCGTCTCCCCACTCCCCAATACCTGTGGTTGCCGGCACGAGTTCTCTACACACCAAGCAGCACGCCAGGCTGACACAGTCATCCATCTTGTGTATTATTCATGAGTCTGCTATATACTTCATATTTTCTTGCCTCGTTATATACGAGTATGTTTCTCGCGTCTCGAGTGATAAATGACCGTCAACCTTGAACTTTAACAAGGTGGCTGGAGTGGCTTTATAGTGCTTATACTGGTCCCGTGCTCCAGTCCTCACTGCATGCTGGATGTGTTATGTTTATGAGCCTAAGTTAGTGTCTGTATACAGTGTCTGATTCTAAGTTAGCGTCTGTATAAAATTTCTGATTCTAAGTTAGCGTCTGTATAAAATTTCTGATTCTAAGTTAGCGTCTGTGTACAATTTCTGATTCTAAGTTAGCGTCTGTATAAAGTCTCTCATCCTAAGTTACCGTCTGTATAATTTAGGTTACCATAACCGCTGCCTACATGCAGTGTTCAATCATTATCATAACTTTATTCATAAATGTTAGTTTCCTTCGCTTATATTAGAATTGGGTAAATAATTTACTGTAAATGTGTGTCAACTAAGAGAAAGTCATCATAATAACATTAAATGTCTGTAGTTATGAACTGTTTACTCAAGAATTCAATTTATATTTCGAAGCGAAAATGATCAATGATTCTAATATCATTACAGTTGTCAAATTCTGAATCTGAAACTATTTCTGTACCATCACAAATGGTTACAATAATGGGTGATATGAAACTTTACATTTTGAGTTACAGTAACATTCAGCTTACAATTTGAAAAGTGATATATATATATATATATATATATATATATATATATATATATATATATATATATATATATATATATATATATATATATATATATATATAATATGACAGTGTCAGACCATGGAGGAAGTATTGAAACAGGAATTTCCTTTAAGTACTTTCGAATTAAATAATAAATCTTCAGAAGGATCATTCTGAAGATGTATTATTAAATACGAAAGTACTTACGGAAATTCCTGTCTGAATCCTTCCTTCGTGGTCTTACACTGTCATATATATATAAATGGGTTCTTGTATGTAAATGGGTATATTAAAATTATATATATTTCTTGTTTCAGAACCCGGCGTTCATTGGCCCTCTCCCTGACTCCCGTGGACCATTGTCGGTGACAGAGCTCTCAGTACTGACGAACCACCTGGAGTAACAGTCAATTAGTGAACTGATGAACTCTCTGGATTAGTTACACGACCCCTTCTATCGTCATTTATTACTGGTGAACCCTATGAATTAGTGTACTAGTGAACTGCTTGGACTATTATTAGTGAACTACTTATGGATACTTAACAAAGAAAGTGATATATTATTACTTGTTAACTACCAATTCAAACTGGATCCTAAAAGGTGGTTTGCTGAGACGAAAGCAGAACCATCTTCAGCATTGGCGTCAATATATACAGGTTAGTGGGATGGTGTATTCTTGGTGATGGTGACAATGGTGAGGTGTTGTATGCAGGCGATGAGTCACAATAACGTGACTAAAGTATGTTGACTTCACCACACACTAGAAGGTGAAGGGGGCGACGATGTTTCGGTCCGTCCTGGACCAGTCACATTCGACTTGAGAATGGTCCAGGACGGACCGAAACGTCGTCGTCCCTTCACCTTCTAATGTGTGGTCTGGTCAGCGAGGTGTTGTACACCCAGGCGGTGATGGGTGAGGTAAGTGCACCAGTCACGTTTGTAGGTTAGGTTAACATTTTTAAAAACACTACAATCACCTTCTGTGGTTGATTGTTCAATAAATCACTGAATGATATGGTTTAACAGATCTCTAAGACTGTCCATGGAGGACAGGAGAAAATGTATATATGCTGGTTAGCATTGTAAATGTGTGGCCACGTTTGTGGCAGAAAATAGTAATAATAAACGGTTGACTGGAAAACACCTAACTTTACTAATTTCAACTTGGCTGTATGCACTGTAGCTTCTGCTAACTTTTATCCACTTGTCACTTAAGATGTTGAGAGCATCAACGAGACACGTCTTTTAGCGACAGGGTCGAATTAGTGTTAGTTTTTCAAATTCCTTCTCAAGCGAAGAACATAAATATAGAGAATATTTGTCCTAGAATAATTGGTATATATTATATGAAAGAAAGAATAGTCCCCCTAGCTACGACATGGCCAAAAGGAGTTGAAACCGAAGTTCTACTGAACTTACTGGATCCTGCAGCCTCTCCGAGGCACAAACCAGGGTTTTACACAACTCCCCCATGCACTCGAGCTATGTCAATAACCCGTTCTCCCTCTTCGCCCTTACTTCATTACACACAGAAATCACAGAAATCGGCCCTTGTAGATTTGTTCATTTGATGCATCACGCAACTGTGATTTCTGTGTGTAATGAAGTAAGGGCGAAGAGGGAGAACGGTCTATTGACAGCTCGAGTGCATGGGGGGAGTTGTGTAAAACCCTGGTTTGTATCTCGAAGAGGCTGCAGGACCCAGTAAGTTTAGTAGAACTTCGGTTGCAACTCCTTTTGACCATGTCGTAACTCAGTCGATTAAGGCAGCGTCTGGGATGCTCACGGACGCAGGTTCGAATCCTCGTCACGGCCCTTGTGGATTTGTACATCACACACTTATTACAGCCGTATCTTTACCTCGGTACAGTGGTACACAGCGGCCATATCCTGTACCGCTGAGTGAATCTGTATCAGCTGGAGTTGGTAATATGAAACACAAATGTCGGGGAATTATGCAAGAGTGCGAAGCTCAACAAATTGAAATATTGAGTGTGTACACAGATGATTGGGTCATGTTGCACAGAAAGATGATTACTTAATTAGGTGAGCGTATTCAATTTATTAACAGGGTAGGAGGAGAGGATAGCGGAGATGATAGCCATGAGGAGTGATGAGTGAGGCGTGTGTGTGTGTGTGTGTACTCGCTTAGTTGTGCTTGAGGGGGGGTTGAACTTCAGCTCTTTTGTCCCGCCTCTCAACCGTCAATGAACTGATGTACAGATTCCCAAGCCTACTGGGCTCTATCATATCTATATTTGAAACTGTGTATGGAGTCAGCCTCCACCACATCACTGCCTAATGCATTCCATTTGTTAACTACTCTGACACTGAAAAAGTTCTTTCTAACGTCCCTGTGGCTCATTTGGGTATTCAAATCTCCACCTGTGTCCCCCTTGTTAGAGTACCACGCGTATTAAACAATTTATCCTTATATGCCCTGTCAATTCCTGAGAATTTTGTAGGTGGTGATCATGTCTCCCTTTACTCTTCTATATTCCATTGTCGTGAAGTGCATTTCCCGCAGCCTTTCCTCGTAACTTATGCCTCTTAGTTCTGGGACTAACCTAGTGGCATTCCTCTAATTTTTCCAGCTTCGTCTTGTGCTTGACAAGGTACGGGCTCCATGCTGGGGCTGCAAACTCCAGGATTGGTCTTATGTGGTATACAAGGTTCTGAATGATTCTTTACACAGGTTCCTGAAAGCTGTTCTGATGTTAGCCAGCCTCGCGTATGCCGCAGATGTAATTCTTTTTTATGTGGGCTTCAGAAGACAGATTTGGTGTGATATCAACTCCTAGATCTTTCTCTCTCTGTCCGTTTCATGAAGTAATTCATCTCCCATTCTGTATCTTGTGTCTGCCCTCCTGTTTCCACCGCCTAGTTTCATTACCTTACATTTATTCGGGTTGAACTTTAGTAGCCATTTGTTGGAACATTTATTCAGTTTGTCTAGGTCATCTTGTAGCCTCATACTATCTTCCTCTGTTTTAATACTCCTCATATTTTTTTCATAATCGGCAAACAATGAGAGGAACGATTTTATACCTTCAGGGAGATCATTTACATATATCAGAAACAGTATAGGTCCAAGGACTGAACATTGCGGAAAACCACAGGTGACGTCTCGCCACTCTGAAGCCTTGCCCCTCACAGTGACTCCCTGTTTTCTGTTGCTTAGGTATTCCATTATCCAATGGAGTACCTTCCCTTTCACTCCTGCCTGCATCTCCAGCTTTTGCACTAGCCTCTTGTGTATTCACCTAGTTGTATTCACCTAGTTGTGTTTGCGGGGGTTGAGCTTTGCTCTTTCGGCCCGCCTCTCAACTGTCAATCAACTGTTTACTAACTATTTTTTTTTTCACACCACACACTCAAACCCCCCCCCCCCCCCAGGAAGCAGCCCGTGACAGTTGACTAACTCCCAGGTACCTATTTACTGCTAGGTAACAGGGGCTTTCAGGGTGAAAGAAAATTTGCCCATTTGTTTCTGTCTCGTTCTTATGTGTGGGACTGTGTCAAAGCCTTTCTGGCAATCCAAAAATATTCAGTCTGCCCACCCCTCTCTTTCTTGCCTGATTTTTGTTTTCTGGCCGTAGAATTCAATTAATCCTGTGAGGCATGACTTGCTATCCCTGAACCCATGTTGATGTTGTGTTACAAAGTTATTTCGCTATAGATGTTCCACTAGCGTTTTTTCGCACAATCTTCTCCACTAACTTGCATGGCAGGTTAGGGACACTGGCCTGTAGTTCAGTGCCTCCTGTCTATCCCCCTTCTTGTATATCGGGACTACATTTGCCGTCTTCCCAATTTTTAGCAGTTCCCCTGTTACCAGTGATTTGTTATACACCATGGAGAGCGGGAGGCACAGTTCTTCTGCTCCTTCCTTTAGTATCCAAGGGCAGATTCCATCTGGGCCTATACCCTTTGTCACATCCAATTCTAGCAAAAGCTTCCTTACATTCCCACTGGTAATCTCAAACTTCAAACTCTTCTAGTGGTGCCTGGTTAACTATTTCCCCCTCTTACCTTTGGAATGTCTTCTTGCTCTAATGTGAGGATCTCCTGGAATATATATATATATATATATATATATATATATATATATATATATATATATATATATATATATATATATATATATATATATATATATATATATATATATATATATATATATATATATATATATATATATATATATATATATATATATATATATATATATATATAATATATGTTTCATTGAATATGACCGCATATTCTGTATTTATTATTTTCTGGTTTAGGGCTTCTATCCCTCTAACTATTTTCTTAGCATCAGGGCTTAATTGAAATAGGAGTTCTCCAAAACTCATTTTCGTACTTTTAAGGTGAAGAAAAGAAGTGATTTACTATAGAGTGTATTACACTTATTTGTATAATTTGCACGACGTTTCGAACCTCCATGGTTCATTCTCAAGTGAACAGATCTTACAATACTAGTTGATTTTATACCCGCATTAGGTCAGGTGATAATACAATGAAGGTGAAAACATGGGGGGATACATAAGGGATAAACATAGGGGCTGCAGAAGGCTTATTGGCCCATACGAGGCATCTCCTATCTAAACACAAAGATTAATCCAGTGTAATTGGCCTGTTATGTTGGACATTGTCTTCTGTGTTGGCATCGATATGTTCTTGTCTTGTCCTTACTCTCATGGTGGGTAGAGTAAATAGTTCCGTGATTTGGGTGTTCATGGTAGGTCGCTCTATTCTTATGTGAATTGCCTCAAGAATTTATAATCTTCTTGAATCTTGGGTTTTGTCTATTATGCAAGTATTCTTGTTCAACATTTCTCTTGTTAGAGTAATGTCATGGGCTTGTCTCATGTGATTCCTAGGGGCACCAGATTGAAGATGGCATGTCAAACGCCTCGTCAGCTTGGTCGACGTCATACCTATGTACTTACATTGAAGGTTACATCCTTCGTGGGGGCAAGTGTACATGTATACAACGCTTGACTGCTGTAGAGGGTTCTCCGTCGGCTTCGGGCTGTTTTTGATAAGGAGTTCGGAAGTCTTCTTGGTTTTGTAGAATATTATCAGGTTTATGTTTTGGTTAGGAGTAGTGCTTTTTACTCCTTTACGGATTATTTCTTTCATTATTCTTTCCTCTTTTATATGTTCACTGTGCATGGTTGATTTGTAATATAATTTTATTGGGGGTGTTGTGGGCTTATACCAACGGTCCAAGTGTCTTCTTATAGCAGCGTTTATTTCCGCGTTGCTATATCCGTTGTTCACCAATACCTGAGTTACTCTTTCAAACTCTCTACTCACGTTGCTCCATTCAGAGCAGTGGGTAAGCGCTCGACGAATATAAGCATTGAGAACACTGGCTTTGTATCTTTGGGGGCACTCACTTCTACCGTTCAGGCATAATCCTATGTTGGTGGGCTTGGTATATACGTTGGTGCTTAAAGAGGTTCCTGTTTTTGTTATTAGTACATCCAAGAATGGCAGACTGTTATTTTCACTATTTTCATGTGTAAATCGGAGTACTGACTCTCTCTCTAGGTGTCTTTTTAGGTCAATTAGTTCATCTGAGTCTTTTACTATTACGAATATGTCATCTACATAACGGCAGTATACAGTTGGTTTTTGTCTGCTACTGAAAA